GAAAGCTATACCGTCTTTTTTATTATCACATACCTATATATTTTCCTATTTAGGTTTTCGTATTATACAAAATGGTGATTGCCTAGATTTTGCGCCAGTAAATGACATTATATTCACCCGCATTATCATGCCTATATGACGCAACACACAGTATACTGAGTGGTCGCTGATTCACTGATTTTTCACAGTCTATTGTAAATGGTTTATAACATCTATCTTAGGTAGTTACCACGTGAGTACTGATTTATGCAACATAGTTTACGATTATCTCATTGGTGTACAATTTCCCAGTTTAATTGTCGAGGGTGATTTTCTTTTTAGAAGTAAATGTTTGTCGAGTTATTTGGTGTTTAATTTCTTCAGGTACTCACAGAAATACAAAAATTCCGATGCAGTTCATAAATCCTTCTTTATTAGTTTTTTTGTTAACTTTTATATAATTTGAGTAGTGCTTCTTGGCTTTCCATTGCTCCCACCCTCAGTGAAGAAGTAATTTAATGAATTTATAGAGCCAAGTGGCGCCCAAAAGTAATTTCCATCATTTGATAAGAAATGGTCTATCTTAATAGAAAGTGATTACATAACCCTTACCTACACCTTTGCTCACCAAGACGAACAGCTGCCGGAGCCGTAACTTATTTACTAATGTAAGTAAAAAATGTTACAACTTCACTGTTTTCTTGTAAATTCGAATGCATTTTTCTGGTAGCGCGGATTCCACTGAGATTACTAGTGATGAGTGATAAAGTTCTTGTCTATAAATCATATTATTAAAAGCGAATAATAACTTATTGGTAAGTTAACAATATTTAGAACTTACTTAGTGAGTATTAGGTACAGTTACTATTTTTTTGTATCCTCTAGAAATGGATTTAACGAACAGCAGCAACTCTGACAGTGAAATTGAGTCGAAAATCAAATTAAGACGTGCTTCTTTTCGTAAAACTTACAATGGACAAGACGTTTTTATTCAAAATGTGTGTCTTACTTGTTTGGAAGGAGGAAAGCTGGTTATCTCTCATGAAAAATCAAAAAAAACTTTCATTGAATGCATGAAAGAACGTATCACAAATTGTCATGATGACAAATATATGCGGCATATATTCTCAAAGTTTGATGATCTAGAAAATCGAAGTTTTTTAAAATGGCACAAAAACTGTTATAAATCGTATACGAGCTCAAAGAACATTGTCTCGTACAAGTCAAAAAATTACAAACTGACAGCTGATTTTCCAGCAGATTTTTGTTGAGCAGATATTTTTCAAAAACGTCCCTTGCGGACACCTTTTTGATTCAAAAAAGTGCGTATTTTGTCAGAAGCGATCACAGTATCAAAAACTAAGCCAAATTATGACTCATAATATGCAAGAAAAAATAAGAACAATATCACGAAGTGACCCTGTGTTCTTTGCGAGAACTGGAGACAACGACTTAATTGCCTCGGAAATAAAATATCATGCCGCTTGCGTTTCAACAGAATTACGCAATCTCAATGAAAAATCGGTTCTTTGAGCTCGTATACGATTTATAACAGTTTCTGTGCCATTTTAAAAAACTTCGATTTTCTAGATCATCAAACTTTGAGAATATATGCCGCATATATTTGTCATCATGACAATTCGTCATACGTTCTTTCGTGCATTCAATGATAGTTTTTTTTATTTTTCATGAGAGATAACCAGCTTTCCTCCTTCCAAACAAATAAGACACACATTTTGAATAAAAACGTCTTGTCCATTGTAAGTTTTACGAAAAGAAGCACGTCTTAATTTGATTTTCGACTCAATTTCACTGTCAGAGCTGCTGCTGTTCGTTAAATCCATTTCTAGAGGATACAAAAAAATAGTAACTCTACCTAATACTCACTAAGTAAGTTCTAAATATTGTTAACTTACCAATAAGTTATTATTCGCTTTTGATAATATGATTTATAGACAAGAACTTTATCACTCATCACTAGTAATCTCAGTGGAATCCGCGCTACCAGAACAATGCATTCGAATTTACAAGAAAACAGTGAAGTCACGGTAAAATCGACCGTACCAACATCGCCATCAGTAGAGTGGATTTTCGGTTGACTTAGGCATAGCAATCTCGCCCTTCCTCGTGTCTCTGCGGTCGCCGCTGTTCATCGCGACATGCCGTTCGATTTATTTAATTTTCTCGTGAACCAATTATCCAATCAAAATTCAAAAAAGCCCAACATGTTCTCTGATGTTTGGTCTTTAACGTTTATAGAAAACCTTTTTTTGCTAGACCCAATACTTTTCGAGGTAGAGCGAGTTAAATGATTTTGAAAATATGGGTGTGCAGGGCAAGCGGTTTTGTGTGAAGGCGCTCCATATACAACAATGCTGCGACGTATTTTTATAAATTGAAAAAAAATATTTCTGATATCCGGATGGGTATTCAAATTTGAGGAATGAATTATCTCAAATCTTAGATCTGAAAACCGATGAAAAAAAAAATTGCCTTTTTTTTTTAAAAGGCTCCCCCCACTCCCCTCCTACTACGATTTTTGGACGACCAAGTGATTTTGCATTGCAAAGGTCTTAGGAATGATAAAAAATGGGTTTTACATTTTAGCAACAAAGTGCCCACGAAAATCTATTCTAGAAGCCTTTTGCCAGTCTATTTACTCTACTATCAATTGTGGGAGTCGAGGAGATCGTGACAATGTTAGATTTTATAGAATCCCTGGTGAACTCAACTTTCCACACAAAACAGAGTTGAATGATCTCTCAAAAACAAGGAGAAGAAGGTGGATATCAGCTATCAAACGGGAAGATCTAACAGAAACTAAACTAAAGTATAGCAGAGTGTGTGAAAAACATTTTTTGAATGGTAAACAAACGTGCTCCTTTTTTCATCAGTTCGTTATGGATGTGTTTCTCAATTTCAGGGAAACCAGCTGACTTATCTGATGATAAAAATCCTGATTGGGTTCCTTCATTATATATGGGGTATGGAAACGATGAAAGAATAAAAAAACGGTTAGACAGTGGGACTGCTAGGCTAGAATTATTCATGAAGATATTCCTGAGAACATTGTTGAAGCTGAGGTGAGACAAATGTAATTATAATCAATTTTGATATATATTTAGTAATTTTTCATTCTAGGTACCCATAACTGAAACTGCTGGTGAAGTGGCTAATGAAAAACTAACACAAACAGAATTAACAGCAGATGATTTATCAACAATAATGCTTTCTCTAGAGTCAACAAAAAAACTCCAAGCTAGATTGGAGAAACTTGACATGGGAATAAACTTTCTAAAAGGCAATGATATCAAAACCAAATATTATACAGGACTCAATAGCTTTATAAAATTTGAGGGAGTTTTTCATTTATTGAAAGATTATATCATAGTTCATCATATTTCAAGTTTGCCTGTATTTGAGCAGATCTTATTAACATTCATGAAGCTGAGGCTTAATCTGGACTTCAAAGATTTAGCATATCACTTTGGAGTGAGTCCAACAACAGCCTCAACATACTTCAAAAATGTGCTAGAAATAATGTTTTTGAGATTCGAAAAACTGATATTATGGCCAAGTAGGGAAATTTTGATAAAATCAATGCCAAAATGTTTTAGCCAGACATTTGGTGACAAAATAATAGTGATAATTGATTGCTTCGAAATCTTCACAGAGAAGCCATCAAATTTATTGAAAGCTGCTCAATGCTGGTCCAATTACAAACATCACCACACTATAAAATATCTTATTGGAATAACACCATCAGGAACTATAAGTTTCATTAGTGAAGCATGGGGAGGCAGAGCATCTGACAAACATATCACTCTAAATTCAAAATTTTTGGACAACATCATCAGAGGTAGAGCAAGTTCGATAATGATTCATATGGATATATAATTCACAACTTTTATTTATTTCTAGGTGATGTAATATTAGCTGACAGAGGTTTTTTGATTAGTGACCAAGTCAGATTACTACATGCAGAATTGCAAATGCCAGCTTTCACCAAGGGCAAAAAACAATTACATCCTGTAGAAATAGAAACAACCAGATCTATCGCTCATGTTCGAATTCATGTGGAAATGATTATTGGATGCATAAGGCAGAAATATAGGATTCTTTCAGATAATATGCCAATTCCACTTTTATCTTCTGGAGAGGATAACCCTATTTTAGACAAAATTGTTGTAGTATGTTGTGCATTGATCAATCTTTGTCCACCCCTTGTACCATCATATTAATATATTTTCAAGTTATTTTTCTATTATCTTGTGAACTATATGATGTTGAAATTTTGGCGAAATACTCATCGGAAATTGTTGTTTTAATTATATATATAATGTTTGATTTGAAGCTAATAATAGATTGTACCCCATATCAGATTTGTATGAGGATTTGTACAAGTATCTTAACAATGTATGTAATGTTTATGTTATATTGAAATTGAATAAAAATATATTAATCTACTTTATTGTGCCTAATATATACTTCTGATTTTAATCATGAATTTTTTTATTCATGTAGGTACCTTTTATTACTAATAATATTTACTGAGATTTCATTGGTCACCTCACATTTTCCCAATGAAATGAACAAAAAAGATCTCTTCAAAGTTGATTAGAATGAATAGGTTCTTGGGGAGGCAAATAAAACATAAAAATCAAGGAATTGAATTATTTTTTGTTTATTGACAGAACTTCACAAAATTGTAGAATTTATTTGACCATGTTATGTATAAATATGTTTTTTGTAGCAAGTCAGATTAAGATACAGATATTTATGTGTACTGAGTTGTGTCAGAAGAACTACTACCTACCTAATATGAAAAAAAAGTAAAAAACAAATATATCATTGTTTTAATAAAATATAATGACAGTACATGAAATCAACAAACAGAAACACTAGTTGCCTGCAAGTGAGACCTCAAGTAAACCACTGAATTCGTTAATTCGATAAAGGCTCATTTTAATAAGGATATTTTTCAATGTTCTTTCGAATACATAAATATTTCTGAATTCCACTTATGAAGGGCAGTACTGACATGTCCATTTAGCTTCAGGAACATCAGAAAGTCCAATACAATTCAAATGAAACCATTGGATTTCACAATCATCATTTAAACATTTTATCATTGGCCTACCATCATCAACTGAGTTACATAAACACCAATTTTGTTTCAAGTGATTTCCTTTAGTGAAATACCTTCCCAAAAGTTCTGGAAGAACAACTCGTTTATGAAATTCATGAGCTCTTGGGAAGTTCTCATTCCAAAATAAAACAACTGCATGTATTTTAATTGAAATTGAGTGATTGGGAGACCAAACCACAAAATAACAAAATTTTGACTTTGTTACATGCATTCGCATTTGAACCTGGTAATAGTAGGAATGCTCTGGTTCCAACAAGATCACAGCTTTGTCTCTCTTATGGTACCCCAAAAATGAATTATTTTCATCGATATATTCTGCGAAACTTAAATCTTTCAATAAATAAGGACATTTCACTTCTACACATATGTGTCCACAACAATCACACATCATCATTGCATCTGGGGAAGCACCAAGAAATGGGTACATTTCGTCTATATATGTAACCCTGTCTCCTCAATTCTAAAATTGGTATGGGATTTTGCCATTAGCTCTGCAAATTCCTTGAGTGCAGTTTTTTCATGTGTTAAACCCCACTCAGTAGCCTTTGACTTGAAATTTACACTCAACGGGTAGCAGATATTTTTAATCAACGATAAAGAAGGCTTATTTATAGATGTTTTACACACCCTCTTCAAATTAGAAGCTGTGATGCGACCCTTTCTTTGTTGGAACCATTCATTGGATTTGTTTTGTTTCTTTGTTGCCAACAAAATTTTATCACACATTTCACTATCCATTTGCTCCTCAACAGTGAGTGCTAATTCACATAAATCTGAATAGGAGAGGGATTCATATTCCACATTATGAATATCATAGGTATTCGGTAGATATCCACTAGAATTTTGCTCACTCATGACTGATGCGAATGGCTCTATTATTCTCATAATAGCCACATCATCTCCTTTATCCTGCATAACTTGAAGAAATTGTGTTAACTCTTCACCTTCAAGTCTAGGGACAATAATGGCTGGAGATATTGCTTGTCATAGAAGATCCTTCAATTCCTGTTTTCTTCAACTCCATATCACCCAATTTTACAATTGGAACATTTGACACAGATGGTACAATCCATCTTGCTTTGATATCAGTTGGTGACAAATTCCTTGATGCTTGGTACATGTATTCTAAAGCATATAATAATGCACCTACATGACTACATACTTCAGATAGGCCAGCCATACATGTACAATGAGCAGAAATTATGGAACCATCTTCCTCGCAAATTGTCCAAACTTTCAATGGTGGATTGTTATTCCTTTGAGAATGTTTCACCTAAAAATCAAGATTTTTACAAATGATTGAAAAACAATCAAGATTATATGAACCATTTTCTTCAAGAAAGAGAAAGATTATATATTTTCATGAAAATTTTGATTACCTGGCAAAACACGACGATATTTTCTCCAATTTTTCGAGCTCGGAAGTTCTGAACAAATCCAGCTTCAAAATATTTATAAGCTGAAAAAATCTTGTAGGCTTTGACTTGCTCATTAGTGTAGAAACTATGAGTGAGAACCAAATACGAGAATATGTGGAAAGCAGTCACTGGTGGAAAGTCTTGTTCTCTAGTTTTTCCATCAGGATCATTAATGGGGGTGAAGGGATCAATACTCTGAATAACTTTGATTTTCTCCTTATATCTTATGGCAATGTCTCTACTTTCACTCTCTAACATTAATAGATAATCACTTTTAACGGAAAATGCCATTATTTCAACCTAAAACACCTACTGAAGCTTACAATCAATCAGAATACTCAATACAAACTGGAAACACAATGCTAAAAGTAGTAAAGAATAGATTTGTGTGCCTACCAGCGGCCATTTTTGATGACATATGGTCACGTGTTCTGGATTGCCCCATTATGCTGGTGACACTATATTCAGTTTGCACAGATTCATCCATTTCTGTTTCATCGATACTTTCATCAATGTCGAAAATATATGGTAACTCTTCCAAAGGAAGGAGTTTTAAGGGATATTCCGCATTTCTCGGTGATATCGATAAACGCCTCAAATTATTTTTCAAACAAAAATTACCGATGTTTCTGTATACTCGAATGACTTCTCTATGTTAGTATGGGTATAGCTGAGATAGCAACAGAGCAAGATTTTGCAATTTAACTTCCTTTCTTCTGGCTGATGGGACGAGGTCCACAAAACCCTTAAAATAAACTTTTTGTTTTTCTCAAACATCTTTCCAATAATGTAATGAAACTTTCTGCTCAATTGATAGTGATTTCCCTGCCAGGTGTATAGAGATTGAATTTTTCAAGAATCCATTTACCACTTCGTTTAATAGCATCAATGTTTTTGTCAGAGTATAACTCGAATTGCTTAGCAACGTGTGGAGACCTATGCCTATATTTTCCATTGACCTCTTGTTCGCTTTCAGATCCCACGTGTGATATGTATATGTATAGTTTTTGATTGAGGTTACGATTGCATGTCCTCTACATCTGTCACAATAATCTCATCGCATATGGATTGAATATTTTCCACAAGTACAAGTGGTCTGTGAAAAATAGATTCTTTTGGTGTGAAATTTTCGATACCTGGTTTTCGTGGCCAGATATAATTATCACTTGTTGGGATGTTTTCTGAAAACCTAATTCTGAATATGTCTTGGTTCTTTATCAATACCTGTCGTAGATACCAGTTCTTATCGAATGCCACTGGTTAGAATTTATTCATTTCAGGATCGAAAACGTCTTAAACGTCACGTTTTTTCATCATCCTATCTTCTCCTCGAACTTCTTCCAAAGAGGAGAATGACTATACATCTGTGGAATCGTCAAAAAAGATATCTGGTTCTTTTTCTTCTCCTAAAGTATCTTCGATACATTCAATTTGTTTATTTTTCTTAGTTTTTGAATTTTCAGCAAATGTCAGCAGGTATTTTCGACTTCCTCTTTTGGACAGATCTAGAATTGAAACGCTGTAAGCAATCGTTACTGATCCGTCCCTTCCCCTCATCTAGAAGCCAGTATAGTAATAATTTTTTTTATTATAGTCGTCTTATTATTTTCCAAAGTGACTTTCACATGTGGTCATTTCTCAATCCAAAGCTAGCTGTAGCTGGAGTTGATGACAGCATGACGCGATGCGAAGCGCTTGAATGGCGCAATCAAAATGAACCATAGAACTGAATATACTGCAGGGAGATTCTATTTCACGAATCGAGTCGAATCGGCCATCTTTATTCGATATTTGCTATTCTCGAATGAATCGGGTAAACTCGACTCGATTCCTCGATAGCTCAAGAGGAGTCGAGTTGATGCGTTTAGACAATCTATCCTTATCTTCAATCATGTCGTTCTGAAAATTTCAGGTTGGGATATCTTTGCTTCTTGAATATAATTTCTCTATTCATTATTATTTGTGATCATAATTATAATTATTATACCTATCATAAAATTAATAGTACGCCCACTGGGAAATACTGATTTTGTTCTTAGAAGAGCATAGTAATATGGCCACAGGACGTTTTTCTGGGCCTAATGGTCGAGAAATGAATAAAAAATTATGGCTGAGACTCAGCCAAGAGTTGAATTCATTGGGACTTGGAGAGAGAACTCCAGAAAAATGGCAAAAAGTGAGATATAGCAAGGTAGATTTGTGAATAGTGTTATGTATACTTATACCAATATTTTTTCCAGAGTTGGACTGACTTTAAGTACTTATTGAAAAAGAAAGCTGGCTCTATCCAAGTAGATATATTTAAAACAGGAGGAGGCCCTTCAGATACCTCACCACTGAGTAATTTCGAACAAATTGCCTTGGAAATTCTGGGAAAAAGCTTTTACAAAGGCACAGGTTGTTCGGAAGTGGCTGTGGTTAGTATGTAACTAGCACCTTTGTCTTTCATTACAAATTACTTTCATCATACATGGTACCTATATTATAATTTTCTTAGAGCAATATTGTTCAGAGAGAAAAAAGTATTGTTGGTGAGTCATTAGACCAACTATCCACAAGTGCAGGACCCTCGGCAAGACCAATTAAAACTCATCTCCTAAAGACCCCTCACGAATATGCTGGTGTTGATCATGATTACTCTGTGCAACCAGCAAATGAAAAGCGAAAGACCCTACAGGATGAAGCTCATACGTAAACAATTTCAGTATTGAAAAACATTGAAAATGTAGTGAAATAAGGACTAAGTAAAATATCTGATAGTATTGATAGGCTGACAGAACCTGTACTAAAGCCAAATAAGTAGTTTGAATGTAGTCAAAACAAAATGTGCAGGATCATTCAAGGTTGTGATAATATAAGTCATTATTTGTCATTATATACCAATGAGGTACCTAGTACATTATATTTAGGGAACTGTTTAGTAGGTAAAGAATATATTTTTGATATTCATTTCAGAGAGATATACCCATCTCAATGTTATGTTTGTGTTTTTCAATAATTCAAGACTGATTATGAGAATTGAAATTATACTAAAAAAAATGACATTCTTGAAATTCATTTATATTTCAAAAATTCCAAACTTCTAATGTAAAGTGAGTATAAACAATTTCAACTCTGATACTCAACACGAATTCTATCTGAAATATCTATTGACAATGATATTCCTAGCCTGAAATCCTTGTTGTGGATTAGGGATATTCTGGAGAACTACAGCAGCTGAAAAATCTTCATTGAGAATAACATATTCAAATGGAATATTTTATTCAATGCACATATTGTGCAGCACTGCACAAACTTGAATCTTGGAGTATAGCGTGCAGATCGTCCTTTCGAGAAGCACCTAAACCGCATTTTTAGGACACCTATGCACCTTTCTACACAATTCCTTGCAGCAATATGTGCAGTATTGTAAGCCCTTGCAGGACCCCCATCAGGTGGATTGACAAATGGGGTCATTAGGTAGGGTTGCAAGGGATATCCACTATCTCCAAGAAGCCAGCATTATTCTTGATTTTGTCCTGATGTTCTCATGAATTGATGTGCTTGAGAAATACGTCATATGTAAGAGTCATGCGTAGAACCTCCAAAATTGGCAAATAAACAGCGAATTCTCAATTTGTGGTCACACAAGATTTGTGTATTGATGGAGTGAAAACCTTTTCTATTCATGAAATTATGCTCTCCTTCCTTGGGCTTCAGTATAGCACAATATGTGTTCCATCTATAACACCAATGACACCAGGAAAACCCCACTGATTCATAAACTCTAGTTTTATAGAATTTCTTTCATGAATGGTATCTGGAAGCCGTATATTTTGACCAACAAGATTGAGGAGTCCATTTGTAACTGCATAAATGCATCTATAAATACTAGTTTGACTTAAATTACAATTGTATTCTTCACCAACACAACGTTGGTAAGAACCAGTAGCATAGAACCGCAGTGCACAAAATACTTTGGTCTCCAATG